ATGACTGGTTACTAACCACACCGAGGTTACGACTCAGTTAGCCTCTCAGTTAGCTTAGTCTTGTTATTGGTTCTTGACAAATTCTGAACAGGCCACGCCTCCAACTGTGGCGTGCGTTCGGTCAAACTGTTATTTATTGATAAACGGAGTCAATTTGTGTAGTTTTCTTGATTTATACTGCAGATATAGGTAAAATATAGGAAAGACTTTGGCGAAATTTGAAAGAGCAACTAATATTCTTCAACCTGGTATTTTTAAAGATTTAATTTTTCATTCTGTTTGTCTGTTTTATCTAGTTTATAAAATATAAGCTGGCTGGAGCCATTCCTTGTCTATTTCTTACACTAGATACCAGCCGATACCCCCCCCCCCACTCATACGAACTGCATACAGTTGATTATAGTTCCTGGGCTCCCTGTGGTAAAACTTCGAATAGGTGATTTTCCGTTCAATTGCGAGTTCTTGCAAGTTGTGTGAAAGACGCGCACCGAATGTCTGCTGCAAAAAACGAACGATTTGATTTTCAACTTGAATTTCTTTATTTCGTAGCTCACATCGAAATGGCGATGTTTGACAGGGGGAATATTGCGTTTGAATACCCTTACTTCATTGAAATTGACCATCATCAAATGTGTACAGCACATTATTAAGCATGGAAGTATCCTGCAAAATACTTTTGCGGTTGTCAAGTCCCACGCTATGTTTGTCGCCACTACGACGCTATGACCTTTGTTTGTCCTGTTTTTACGTTTGATTTCACGCAGAACGTGGGATTTCGCAGTGATCGGAAAATGTTCTATTGAATTGCATGTCCCTTAAACTTGCTCAATTGTGTTACAACAGTTAAAGCAAAGGCTCACCTTACCAACTGGTCAATTAGTCTAATCTACTGTTAATTAATTGGCTGAGCAAAAATAAATTTGGATAAATGCTTTACTGTACTACTCATAGTGACTTGATGACCAGTTTGGATAAAAGTTGTTTTCAACCTTGAGGAGGCTCCTGGAAAGTTTCTATGGTGATTAGCATCAATCAGTGTTGTTAATGGTCAAAGTGAAGTCTCTCTTCTGTGGTCAGAAAAAGTTCAATTGACAATCATATATAGTCACACAGATTGAATTCCATAAAAGTTTGCATCATGTGATTTCAATATCCAGTGTTTATCAGTGTGTGCTTCATTTTGTCCCAGTGCAATTTGATCTTAAGTGTGTTTTGTTTGAAGTACAAATGTTATGATCCAATCATTGGCAGCTAATTTTTACGATCTTGTGCTACATATATATGCGACTAACAAAATTTAAACTCTGTGATTTGTGATGATGCAATTCTAGAAATGACATAAAAATTAATGTTATATTTTACTTTCAATAGAATTCAAGTCATTGAATCACCTTGGTCCCTCTGTATCTGATGACACACAAGCTGATGCCGTGAGGGGACTCATCCAAAGATGCTCCCAGATCGTGCTACTCAGTTCAAGGTCACTGTTGATCAAGGTCTTGGCCAGGCTAATATGGATAGTTTTGAGGTATGAATAGTGTTGACAAACTGACGAATGAATATGCCATTCTGGGAATATCATCTTGTTCAAACTTTTCTATCATAAATAATTATTGGTATCAGGACATGCATTCATGATTTCATATTTTAGACCAAAATACCGATAGTATCGTAGCCCATTCTGAAGGCTGACATGCCACTGACCTCATTAAAATGACTGATTGTTTGTATTCCCTGGGCTAAATATAGGAAAATAAACAGGTCTCAAATTCGTAAAGATAACGATAATATTGTTTGATCTTTATTATTATTTTTCAGATTGAGACAACTGGGATAAATGAGGTCACCTTAAGGGGGACCACCGGGGTAGCGGCGGCATCAGCTTTCCAGCACTACCTTAAGAACTACTGTCATTGCCATATTTCATGGTCAGGTGACCAACTCAATGTACCACGTGACTTGCCCATCGTCAAATCAAAAGTGAGAGTTGTAAGCCCAAACAGGTAAGGTAAAGACTGCCCTCTAGCAATAATATGTATGATACTTCTGTTTTTAACCTGATCACGTGTGTGCTTTATGTGTAATTTATTCATCATTTGCAGGTTTCGTTACTATCAAAATGTCTGTACAGTCAGCTACTCTTTTGTTTGGTGGGACTGGAAAAGATGGGAACGTGAAATTGACTGGATGGCGATGAACGGTATAAATCTACCGTTAGCGTTCAATGCACAGGAAGCTGTATGGCAAATGGTTTACACACAGATGGGGATAACGCTGGATGAGTTGGATCATTTCTTTGCTGGACCAGCATTCCTTGCTTGGTACGTAATTATTGCATACATTATGATTCAACGAATTTTGATTTCACAGTTTTGAATAAAACTTGGTATTTTTACATTCTTCTTCAATCTATTAGAAATAGTTAAAACAATTAAACTGGTGTTGACGACTATTATCAAATCAATGTTCCCAATTTTACAATTTGAAAAAGATTCATATTGAAAATGATCGTCATAAGCTTTAATGCTATGAAAATGAAATACAAATATCATTACCATCGAAACTAGTTCAGTTACCCATATTTGTTTGAACCAAATTGATGCAAAAATAATTTTTTTTTAGTTACAATTTTATGAAAATTTCAGAATCATACTTGAGAACAGAAAACTATTATGATTTCCATATTACAAGTAATCATGGGACGCCTGTGATCAAATTCTCTATCAAATTCAATTCAATTGAAATCATGTTTTTTTTCCTGCATGTCGTCTGTTTTCACTCACAGGGGTCGAATGGGAAATTTACGAGGCTGGGGCGGTCCGTCCCCTCAGTCCTGGCATACCAACCAAGTAGCATTGCAACACTTGATATTAAAAAGAATGCGAGAGTTGGGCATTATACCCGTACTTCCTGCATTTGCCGGATTTGTTCCAAAGGCATTCACCAGGTAATGCAATGTGGATAATGTGAATTTTTGTTGTTGTCAAATGCACACAAAGCAATTCTTTTAGTTTCCTGATGCATCATGGGATAGTACAACAACTTTATAATTATTAATTTCTGATTTTATTTCACTTTACCGTGCTGGCATGTACAGTCAACATGTACAAAAAACAGTCACACCTGTTCTGTCCTCGGTTGTGCTTTTTCAGTGAAAATATATTTGTCGTTTACTGTCAGCTGAAGATCTGTTTCATTTCATCATACATATCTGGATTCATTGTAGAATTTATCCGGATGCCAAAGTGACACGACTCGGTGCGTGGGGTCACTTCAACGACACTTACTGCTGGTAAGTTCAGTTTAATTCAATGTATAAAAAGATTAACATTGTGAACCCTGGTTGCCATAGTGACTAGTAATTCAGTAGGTTGTTGTATTTGTTCACTTTTTTGGCAAATTTGATACATAGTTAGAATAATAACATGCAGGGTATCACCAGAGGTACATTACTTGGGGTTTGCAACGCGCATAGTACTGTATGGTGACATCATGTCAAGATCCCATTCAAGTCTCATCTCGTAGATAGCGAGACTGATGCTACGACCTTCAAACATAAAATAGGCGGTTTGTAATAATCAATAAAACATGTATTACCACATTCATAGTGAAAAAAATTAATACATCGAAAATGTACAGAAAATAAAGTTATCGTAATCCATCATATCATGAGCAGCTATTTTGGTCCACCTGGACATTCCAGTATCCTAGTTACCTCGGGCATGCGCATTCGCATTTTTCTGAGTTGGAATGCTTATGCGAGAGTGAGAATAAACGGGATCTTGGTATCATGTCACCATAGTTGCAAACCCCAAGTAATGTACCTCTGGTATCACTTATTACTCGTATGGTCCAGTGATACGATGCAAACAATTCAAGTTCAGCTGCAACCATTGATGTATAGTAACCTTCGGTATATAACCTGAGAGGTTTATATAGGTATTTGTGTCCTTGCACTGTGAGAAGAACCATATTCAGTCATATTTGTTACAATTGATCCCTTGTATTTTCCAGTTCATATCTTCTTAGTCCGCTTGATCCTTTATTTGTCCAGGTTGGAAAAGCTTTCATCAAACAGGTATTGTATTTTCTGATTAATTTCAACTTTTTTTTATATTCTTGACTGAGCTAGTAGTATTTTTTGTGAGGATATGATATAAATTTATTCAGTACAATGGCCTCAAATCAAAAATAGGCAAATACATATAGAGGGAGTCCTTTAAATAATCATTGAATCTACAAGTCACAATTGGTTAAGTAGATTTTCCCAATGTTTAGAAGTGTTTAGAATACAAATTTCGAAATTTGAAGTACAGTTAATTTGTCAAACAGCGTTCAATGAAGACAGTTTTCATAAGTCTGATTTGAATGATGAAATAGAGGTAAAGATTTACGTAATGTGGACATACAAGGCAAAAATGGTATTCATTCTCAACCAACACTAAATAACATAATTTACAGATTCTCATTTTCCTCGGTATGTTTAATTTATGATCAGATTCAGCCTGAAGGTTGTGGGATAATGTTCTAAGCTGGCATAGCGCAGAACGTAACTTGTTATCTTTAATTAAATGCAAATATTTTTCACACCTAAAATTGAAAAATTGATCTTGTATTTATCAAGTTTTAGGATATTTGTTGAGATCTGTAAACCAAGTTTGTTTGATTAAACAATTTAATTAGATCAACATATACACTTGAAAATTGGTGCTCCAAATAGTCACCTAGGTTGTTTACAAATAAAATATTTGACAAGATAGAACCTTGTTGAACCCCACATAGACATTTAATTGTTTCATGAGACTTTATGTTGCTATGCATAGACTGAACAATTTTGAAAAAGTGACCATGAAGACCATTTTTAGCGATATAAAAGTTAACATATAATCATTAATAAGGTCGAATGCTTTTTCAAAATCAAAAAACACAATAAAGTCTGCTCTAAAGAGTGAAATATCTATTTATGATGGTGTCTAATATAAACATATTATCCAGCATGCTATACGACTTGCAAAAATCCAGCTTGATTTTCGTTTAAAGGGCAAATTTTCAACCCATTTGTTCAATCTGGTATATATAATAGAATCAAATACTTTACCCAGCAGTGATAATAATGTAATTCCCCTATAGTTATTAAAGTTGTCAATGTCACCTTTCTTTATGTAGCGGTACAATGAACCCCAATACCCTATCACTCGGAAAGTAACCAGCAGAATATAACTTACTAAATACGCTAGTAAAACTGTAAATTCAGTGGGACATCACAAATGAACAAAATCAGCAACAGCGCTTGCAAGGTGTTCACATGATAATAAGGATGATGTACCTAATAAGAAAGATAAATAATAATGATTTTGGATAATGTGGATAATTTGAATAAATGAACTAATTATGATTTTATTGTTTCAGTATATTAGTATCTTTGGAACCGATCATATCTACAATACTGACACCTTCAATGAAATGAACCCACCTTCCAAGTAAGTGTGCTTTTGTATTGTTTTTAACTCTTTAAGAAATATACTCGTCATACCAGTAATTTTTTTCAACACTGTTGATCATGACCTGAATTTGAAGCAGTGAATGGAATTATAACCATTTGGTCCAAAGTATGGCAGAAACTACGGAAAACAAATTTTGTTAGAGAAATTATGACTTTTTTCTTGTTTGTGACAAAGTTTTCTGCAATGTCATGGTACTTAATCAATATTTTCATAGAAACTCTTAGGATAAGGCTTAAGAAAAGATTTGTCCTTGGTCTTGAGATGTTTGGAAAATTGGAGTACTTATGGTATCTGCACACTGAGCAGAATAGTATCTTTGTTATGGTTTACTATGTGTATTGAACAGAATACAAGTTGTGTATTATACAATGATATCTGTACTGAGTAGATAATATTTGGTGATTGTTGTCCTAAGTAACTATTCAAAATAATAATTGCACCAGACAACTGTTTTACTTATTTCAATTGATAAGTATATCCGGGACCTCAAAATGGAATTGATATGTCACAGTTTTTGACTCTCTTGTGCACATAATGGAAGTCTTTGCAGTTAGGCTGTCTGTCTGTCTGTCTGTCTGTCTGTGTGTGTGTGTGTGTGTGTGTGTGTGTGTGGTACCCGTTTTGCCATTTAGAGTGTAATTTACTTTGAAATTGAAAAGTTAAGCAAATTTTCTGATATTTAATCCATAATATCAAAGTATGAATTATTCTATTGTGATTCATTTATTGTTTGCAGAGAAAGTAGCTACTTATCACAAGCCAGTATGGCTGTGTATAATAGTTTAACCGCTGCTGACACCGATGCCATATGGCTAATGCAAGGATGGTTGTTTCAAAATAGTTTCTGGGGACCAGATCAGATAAAGGCATATCTACATGGAGTACCACTGGTAATGTATCTTACTTAATACATCTACCATCTAATAGTTATAAAGTTTTTCTTTATTTTTCATGAAAAAGTCATATATCATTATTACCCTAATCGTATACCATTATTACCTAACCGTATAACATTATTACCGAACCATATACCATTATTATCTAACCATATACCATTATTACCTAACTGTATACCATTATTACCTAACTGTATACCATTATTACCAAACTGTATACCATTATTACCAAACTGTATACCATTATTACCTAATTGTATATCATTATTACCTAACTGTATACCATTATTACCTAACTGTATACCAATAATACCGAACTGTATACTATTTTTACTTAACTGTATACTATTCTTACCTAACTGTATACCATTATTACCAAACTGTATACCATTATTACCTAACTGTATACCATTATTACCTAACTGTATACCATTATTACCTAACTGTATACCATTATTACCAAACTGTATACCATTATTACCTAATTGTATATCATTATTACCTAACTGTATACCATTATTACCTAACTGTATACCAATAATACCTAACTGTATACTATTTTTACTTAACTGTATACTATTCTTACCTAACTGTATACCATTATTACCAAACTGTATACCATTATTACCTAACTGTATACCATTATTACCTAACTGTATACCATTATTACCTAACTGTATACCATTATTACCTAACCGTATACCATTATTACCTAACTGTATACCATTATTACCGAACTGTATACCATTATTTCCTAACTGTATACCATTATTACCTAACCGTATACCATTATTACCTAAATGTATACCATTATTACCTAAATGTATACCATTAATACCTAACTGTATACCATTATTACCTAACTGTATACCATTATTACCTAACTGTATACCATTATTACCAAACTGTATACCATTATTACCTAACTGTATACTATTTTTACTTAACTGTATACTATTCTTACCTAACTGTATACCATTATTACCAAACTGTATACCATTATTACCAAACTGTATACCATTATTACCTAACTGTATACCATTATTACCTAACTGTATACCAATAATACCGAACTGTATACCATTATTTCCTAACTGTATACCATTATTACCTAACCGTATACCATTATTACCTAAATGTATACCATTATTACCTAAATGTATACCATTAATACCTAACTGTATACCATTATTACCTAACTGTATACCATTATTACCTAACTGTATTCCATTATTACTTAACTGTATACCATTATTACCAAACTGTATACCATTATTATCTAACTGTATCCCATTATTACATAACTGTATACCATTATTACTTACCCATATACCATTATTACTTACCCATATACCATTATTACTTGCCCATATATCATTATTACCTACCCATATACCATTCTTACCACTATACCATCATATTATGTTTTGGACTCAGGGTAAAATGTTGGTACTCGACTTGTTTGCTGAAGTAACTCCTATTTATAAGAAATCACAATCGTTCTATGGTCAGCCCTTCATATGGTGTATGCTACATAACTTTGGTGGTAACCTGGGAATGTATGGTGCGATAGATTCAGTCAATCAGGTATGTTTCTACTGTAGTGTAAATGTAAACGTTTTTCAAGATGCTTCAATCGTTTTATTCAACCACTAATCAATGGAATCTGGGATACTTGTTTTTTAACCTGATTAGACTAAATAAATTTAAGACTGTGTTTGTCAAAATTTTACATGTTGATCCTGTTGGTGCCCTACCTAAATATATGTGTAAAATGCAAATTACTTCTGAGGTAAAAATAACTTAATACTTTTTCACTGTGTTCGAAATAGACAATGGTTGAATTGAAAAAAAAAAAAAATGACACACATGATTGTGTGATTTGCATATAGATGTGAAAAATACTCGGGACAAATGTTGTGTGTTGTCATTTCGTTTTTTCAAATTATCAATGTTTCGTTTTGTGCCATGCAGCAATAGTCAATTCATGCATAGACCTTAGAAAACTGTTTTCTAAGGTATATAATTCATACTCTGACATTGTAAAGTTTGGCTGCCATTCTGTTGAGATAATAGGCATTCAGAGTTTGCTTTGTCGATATCTCTGAATTCAGTTTTAGCATGTTACATGCATTTCAATAAGAGCTTCAACACCCTAGTGAAGCCCAAATTTAAAATGGTCATTGAAAGATGATTACTTCCTTTTTCAAGTTGTATTATGAAAAATTTAATTTGTACGACAATCTTCATCTTGTCGATGTTTGTATGATGATTGGTGGAGGTACTTTATAAACATATTATCTAGGATAATTTCTTGGTCTTCCAACTAATCTTACATTCTTTGCTAACACATTTCGTGTTTACATGTACTTATTTCAGGGTCCTTCTGAGGGTCATACCTTCACAAACAGTACAATGGTTGGCACGGGGATAACACCAGAAGGCATCAATCAAAACTATGTCATGTATGAATTCATGAATGAAATGGGATGGAGAAATCAGTCTGTGACTGATCTACAGGATTGGTAGGATTTCACACATTTATGTCTGCCCTGTATTCTATGATGTCATCCACACATTCATGATGTCATGATTTCCATAATTTGTCATTCACACGTTGATGGTGTCATTATGATTTCCATAATTTATGATGTCATACACACATTTATGATGTCATTATGATTTCCATAATTTATGATGTCATACACACGTTTATGATGTCATTATTAGTCCCCGTTCGGACGCAGTCCGAAAACGGGGACTTATGTTTTGCCCTGTGTGCGTCCGTCCGTCCGTGCGTCCGTGCGTCCGTGATCACCTGTATCTTGAACATGCATGGACCGATTAAGTTCAAACTTCACTCATACATCACACCTTATATGGGACATATGCACATGCATTTTTTTCATGATCCGATTAACGATAGCCGAATAGCGGCCATTTTAAGGCCGAAAATGCATCAAAATCGCACATTTTCACCATTCCGGACCCGGATCTCAGTTATGCATGGACGGATTTTGTTCAAATTTGGTACATACATTAAACATAATAGGACCTTGATGCACGTCATTTTTTTTTTTTGATCGGGTTCGAAATGGCCGACTGGCGGCCATTTTGTTTTAAAGAATTCAGTTCTGGATCCGTATCCGAGACATGTCTGGATTGATCAAGTTCAAACTTCACACACACAAGGTACATCATGTCACAAATATGTATGTGCATTTGTTTCATGATCTCATTAACGATAGCCGAATAGCGGCCATTTTAAGGCCGAAAATGCATCAAAATCGCACATTTTCACCATTCCGGACCCGGATCTCAGTTATGCATGGACGGATTTTGTTCAAATTTGGTACATACATTAAACATAATAGGACCTTGATGCACGTCATTTTTTTTTTTGGGATTGGGTTCGAAATGGCCGACTGGCGGCCATTTTGTTTTAA